CAGTTAAGTCTATGCATGCCCGGACCCTCTACCGCACCCCTCCCCTCACCTCCAGTCACCGCAAGCCCCCCACCTGCGGAGGCAAGGAGGAAGATTCTGGAATGAAGTAGGGTGGGTGGGAGGGGAGCTGGCTCACCCGCCTCTGGACTTCCCCTCTGTCTCAGTGAAAATCCCACCCAATTATCGCATTACCGGGGGCCTGGGCTGTGGGAGTGGGGTGGGGGCCCCGCAGAGGCAGCTCCTGCTCCCCCTCGAAGCTGTGGGGCCAGGGGATTAGAGTACTAACGGGGAGCCCCCAGAGGCTGCTGGCTCTGCACACACAGAGGGGATGGAGCTGGTGGACACAGTCTTCTCATCTGCCAGGCCCCTCTGGGCTCCCTTGGCCACTGGTTTCTCCCTCCTTTGCCTCTTCCCTCTGCTGTGCAGGTGAGTGCAGGGGAGAGTGAGCTGGGCAGCGCTTTCTGATGCAGGGGGAGAGAGTGGGGGAGTTCCTCCGAGGATGTGCATCTTGGCAAGCTTCTGGGCAGGCTGCAGCCTGGCTGAGCAGCTTGATGGTGGCCCTGGGCTGGGGGCTTCGAGAGCCCTTCCTTACCCACCTGTGGTCTTTGCATGCAGAGACCTTGGAGGGAAGGCTTGCCTGGCTTGGCCTCCTGGGTCTGGATGGCAGGGGGCCACCAGCCCTCCAGGGATCCTGGGAGACACCACAGAGGGGGAGTGGGCATCCTCCATGCTCCGGAGTCTGTTTCCTGAGACCCCAGAAGCATGGGGGTGGGGTGGCGTTCTTTCCCACTCCCTGACTTTCAGCGGGAAATTCTGCATCTTGGCATGAGGGTAGAGTCCAGCCTGACAGGTCTTTGCTCTGTGCTGGGGGGTTCTGTGGCGCCTGCCAGGGGCCCGCTGCCTCCAGGCTTCCAGGAGCCCTCTGTGGCTGAGGACGGTTTCCTGGCAGCGCCCCCTGCTGTCATGCAGAGGGAACTTCCTTGGCAGACCCCCGCCACAGGGCTGTGGAAGTATTCCCCACTCAGGGATGACCCAGTAGGAAGGATCCCATGGTGGGCTCCCAGAAGCCCCAGGGTAAGCCCCCAGGGGAAGAAGGCACTGTCCCAGGAGGTCTGGGAGGCCAGCTGAGAGGGCAGTTTGCTTAGTGAGGTAGTGAGCTCCCTGTCAGTGGTGGTATTTGAACCCCCTGTGTCAGGTGTCAATCCTTCCTGTCCAGGCTGCAGACCTGCTTAGTTGCTTCCTGGAGCCCTGGAGCCTGTGGTTGTGGCATCAGGAGGACCTGGGATCCTGCCCCATGCACGGGTCACCCAGGGACAGCTGCTTGTCAGGTGGAGACTTTCTGTCCCTCATCACCATTTACAGAACCCAGGCCAAGAGAACAACCTGATGGTGTGGCTTAGTGAGCGACTTGGTCCAGATAACAAACGTAGTAACCAGTAGGTCTTTGAAAAAAGTACGGTTTGTAAGTCATTTTCCCATGACTGCAGTTATGTGGGGAGGAGGCGAGGCCCCTCATGTCACCAGCACCTCCTCTTTATCACAGTAGCAGCCAGGAACCCAGCGGAGGCAGCACGTATCTCTCCCACAGATGAGGCTACTGCTGTGTGTCTGTGAGCATGGGAAACACTCCCCCCACACACACCCTCGGGGATTTGCTGGCACACCTCTGGGTGCCTTGGCACACAGTTTGGGAACAGGGCTCTACTGACAGCAGCGGGGGCAGGGGGAGGGGGAGGTCCGCTGTCACCACTGGCCCACAGTTTCCCTCTTATGTTGTGTTCTAAGAGCCTTTCCTCCCCAGCCCAGATCCGAGTCAAATGTTCACTCCCTCTTGGTTTCCAGAAGGTCCCTGTAAAGGTAAGCTGTCACATCAGATGACTTGTCTGAGACTGAGTACAGTGATGATGCCACATGCTCTGGGGCCCTCGTCCCCCACTGTCCCGGGAAGGGACCCCAAGGAGGCTCAGGGCGGTGTACCACCAACTTCCCCTATGCTCCAGAAGGACTCCAGGCAGGTCAGGGCTCTCTGTGGATTACATATGCCACAAAAGTAAGGCCCTCCAGATCTGAATGCCAGTGGTGGGACTCAGGGCCTCGAGGCAGGGAGAGAAGCCAGGATGGGGTGGAGAGGGGGTGGTGGGGCGTGTTCTTGTGGGGAGCACCCATGGTCCCTGGGGCTCGTCTCTGTGCCTGGGCTCCTGGGAGATGGGGCAGACCTTCTGAGAACCCACCCATCTGTCTCAAGTTACCCTCCACAGTGGGCACTCCACCCCAGCTGACACTGGAGCCCTGGGTCAGCCCCTTCTTGCACAGAGGAACCGGGCTCAGGGCAGTGACAGGAGACCCAGGGGTGTCTGGACCCCTCCTCCAGACACCTCCAATGCCTTTCTGCTGGGGGATCACCAGCCTGCACCTCTGGGGCGTTCCATGGAAGGCCGCCATCAGGCTCAGAGAATGTGTGTCCCCCACAGCCCAGACCCCCCTGTGCATTCTGGGGTGTGCAGCCCTAGCTCATGCGTCTTACTCCGTGGTCACCCCAGACTCCTGCCTCTGCTCCACTTAGGACATGGCCACCTAGCAGGCGTGGCTGACACTGTGCTTGCCAAAGCTTGCGTTATTCTTGAGTCCACTGTCCCCGGCCACTCTGACAGACAGAAGTGGCCTCATGATGTTGGAATTTGGAGGGCAGGGGTGGGGGGAAGGGTGGAATCCTGGAGTCATAGAAGCGGGGCCCCAAGTTCTAGGTCCCCAAGTAGCCACGCTGTGAATTCTCCGTGAAGGAGTACATTTGCTCCTGATGTGCTGGCGTCTCCCAGCCACAAAGTCATGGGGCCCAGAGCAGCTGGAAATAGAGCCATTGAATTCTGGCATCATATGATTCCCAAAGCAGGGAGCCACAGCTGGAGAGTCTTAGACCCATAAAAAAACAGAATGTGGGGGTACAAATAAGCATGGCAGTGCTGTCATCACCACTGTGCGCGCTGTAAGTCAGCTGCCCTGGGGTCTGGACCTCTCTGGGGTCTCACTCACCTGCCAGATGCTGAATTTAGCCCAGCCTTCCTGTCCAGGGTGCTACCGGTTTGCACAGCCGCGCTTCTGGGCCGACAGCGCCACCATGTGGAAACGCTAAGCGAGGTAGTGTGGTCCGGAAACCAGGGGTCGCTTGCGGATCCCCCGCCTGCAGGCCTCTGGGCTCAGCTGCTGGTGGGGCAGGCCCAGCCCCTCCTCAGTCCTCAGCATTCCTGCCTCTCCCACCCCCCTCGAGTGCAGATCACTCTCCTCCTGGTAACTAGTGCCCACAGCCCTGGCTAGTCTGCATTGGGTGCAGCGGGAAAACTGCCTGATTCCCAGACAACTTGAGATGTGGTGTCACTAACCCTCAGGGCATGAGTCACAGCTCAGGCCCCAGGGGTCAAGATTGAAGCTCTTGGGGTGGGCGTTCAGAGTGTCAGGGCCTCGTTAGTGGCACCCTTCCTGTGCTGCCCATGACCTGCCCACGGTCTGTGATTCCCTTGACACCAAGACCCTCACTCCTTCTGTGCACCCTCAGTGCCACCTCTGGTTCCATCAGCAAAAGCAGGGGGAAGCATGCACCCCTCCACGCCCCTCCCTGGTCTGAAGAGGCCAGATGCCACCTCCCCACACCTCTCTAGTGGGCACTGTGGGTCAGAAGGGGTGAGCAGGGCAGGGCAGGGTCTCCACTGGCCACTCCTTCCATTTTGCTGCATTGGTATGTGGTGCTGTGTATCCTGCAAAGCTCCATCTCTGCCTTCCTGCTCTGCAGCC